CAGGCTGCCCAGGGAGGCTGTGGACTCTCCTTCTCTGGAGATATTCCAGACCCACCTGGACGCGGTGCTGTGCAGCCTGCTCTGGGTGACCCTGCTTGGGCAGGGGGTTGGGCTGGGTGACCCCCAGAGGTCCCTGCCAACCCCGACCAGTCTGTGATTCTGTGATTCTGTCTGACTCTGTATTTCCAAAAAGCCTCCGAGGGTCAGCCAGCACATCAATAAATGCCAAAATTCAACTGCAGTCTTTAAAGGTTTGAGAAGAACTATGGCTTGGACCGAAACTATAGGAGCAAATCTCTCAAGTGGGGGCAAAAGCACTTCTTGGCTTGCTCACCCTCTGATGCAAAAGCCACCAGGGTGAACTGCAGGACTGGGACAGGTCCCGACCCATCACCTCCTCTCTACTTCTGCAGTTTGCTCACAGCTCTGTGAGACCAAGCTGCGGCACCCAACGCACTTTTTTTGCAGAACAATCCTCAAGAGGGAGGGTGCGGGAACCACCGCTGGAACCAGCGAGAAGAAAACCGTGCGTGTCAGGCTCTTCTGCCAATCCACAGGGCACGTTGGCTTGGCTCCCACCTCCCAGAAGATGGAAAAGGCACAGGGAAGGACATGGACGGTCCAAAGGTACCGAATGGCTTTGGCTGGACTTGTTGAGACAAGGTACGTGGCTTTAGCACTCACCCTCTCAACAAAACGCAGCGCTTGGCTCAGCGGTGCACCGGTATCGAGACAACTGTCACCTCCACGCCTGGATGGTTTTCTGCCTTTCTGAGCAGCTCGCTGTAAGCCCGTGCTTACCTCCGACCACACGCGCAACCGTAGCACGCTCAGAAACCCCACTGGTGCCAGGACACACAGGCAGCCCGAACGGTTCCTGCACCAGCTGGCAGTTATTAATCTGCGTTATCTGGCAATGTTCTGCACACCCAGATAGCGATGTCTCAACATAACACCACCTCTCCGTCTCCTCACACACCCCGCTCCTATTGCTTTCGACACACACTGGTGCTCTCCCCAGCCAGGACCGTTCACGCGAATGGTGGGACCAGTAATGACCCCCCCGTCGCATCGCTCACGCCCACTCCTGATGCTCTGTGTCAGGAGGATGTATTTCAGCAAATGAAGAAATTCTCCTCCTTGATTTCCCCTATTGAAACCAACCCTTTGAGGAAATACCCACATCACACAAAGTATTTCAGATGAACATCCCGACATGTTTACTCTGCTCTTATGAGACCCCACCTGGAGTCCTGCGTCCACCTCTGGAGTCCCCAGCATCGGAAGGACATGGATGGGTTGGAGCAGGGCCAGAGGAGGGCCACGAAGATGATCCGAGGGCTGGAGCACCTCTCCTACAAGGACAGGCTGAGGGAGCTGGGGCTGTTCAGCCTGGAGAAGTGAAGGCTCCGGGGTGACCTTAGAACAGCTGCCAGTGCCTGAAGGGGCCTACAGGAAGGATGGAGAGGGGCTTTTCACAAGGG